GGGAAAACACTTTGCAGTCCAGAGGGGAGCAAATGACAGGAAAATATCTTCTAACAGAACAAGAAGGCAAGCAGCTTTATCCCAAGACCACCAGTAAGGTGATAAAGGGCCTCCCTTTCCCCCTTTACATCTACGCCCCTGTTCAGCATGAAGAAGCCAGAGAGTCGGCATCCAGTTCCCAAATCAATAAGACAGTTGGTTTACTTACCATTGGAAAATGCTTGTCATTCCTCTGTAGCATCTGGTCCCCACTGGACCCTCATCATTTCCTTCACCTGCTCCCCCCACCGACCAAACTGTGCAGCTCTGCAACTGCATCCCTGCCCATCCTCACCCTTATGCCCCCCAACCCTCGCCTCCTTGTACCCCCAATATGTTTTTCCCACTAAAAAAATTAAAATTAAGAATTCAAGGTCTTGCAGGACATTTTAAAAGATAGCTTACCAAGGAAAGGGAACTTGCCAAACATGGGAAGTTAATGAATTGTTGACAAAATATTAGACAAACTCTCCGAATAAAAAGTTGAAGATCAAGAAATTTGAGTCAATAACAATTAGATGAAATAGGATTGGAAATTGGAATTAGAGATGCCCAGAAAAAAGGAGGGTGGGCAGGATGGAGATGGCCACACCTGACCTCTGTTCCCATCAATAACCTCTGGGACAAAAACATCAATTCCCATAAGGTCAGACATGGTCTCTACTCTCTCACATCAACTTCTACTAATCCCAACATCTATCTCACTACTCCAGTACTGGGTCTGAAATTTGTTGCTTTAGCCACACAGAACCATGCTCATGATTATGGGATTTAACAGGAAAGTTAACAGGACACAGCTTGAGTTGGCAACAGGATATAATTTTTCAGGACAACTTCTTAAGCATGCTCACAGGTCCTTCAATCTTCTGCCTTGTGGTTTTAGATCAGTGTTAAAAATTCCTCGTAGTCATCTCAATTATGATATATTCCCCTAAGACATCTAGCAAGCTTTGGAAAAGGCCTCAGCTCTGACTCCATGGAGCAGCAGTCCATGATCAACTCTTTGTCATACCAGGTCTCTGGTTCTGTGCTGCAGCTGCTACTGCTCTCCTGTAGGCCTTAGCCTGACTGGCACAGGAATCTCTGGCTTAGAAGGATCAGCTGCATTCTCTGCTTCTTCCTTGCTGGTAGGGAGATTCTCAATTTTTGCTGCAGAACCTGCTTAATTTAAACCTTGTGAAATGGCAAAATTGTCCAATTCTCTTATGCAAAGACTATGCACCCTGTTTTCATGGTTCCCACCCATTCATGTGGCAAAGTCAATATCAGTGGCTTAGGAAAGCTGTTTTGAACAATCAATTCATGACACTACAACATTCAAATCATGACAATTTGAAAACATCTTCCTCACAATCATAAACTATGACTTTTCCATTCCTGGCTCTTTTTGTTCTTCTAATTGAAGCACAGTTGATAAAGAAAGGAGAAAAATTTTTGTTCTCTCTGACTTTTCTTTTTTTTTATTCTTTTAAATTTTTATTTATTCATTGTTGCACATTTTCTTCCCTCCCCACCCCCATTTACTTTGCAATGCACCTCTTATTCCAGATTATAGTCATACATGCCTTTCAGACAGTTCTTCCCCTCATCTGTTCCAATGCAGTGTTCATTAATTATGAAACAATAAAATGACAGAAATAAAAAGAAAATTAAAATGTACCCATTTAAAATCGTCCAAATGCAAGCGATGTCATTAAATTTGCATTTCAAATAATCAGAAATAACTCTGTTGTTGTTATGTGCCGTCGAGTCGTTTCCGACTCATAGCGACCCTATGCACAACAGCCCTAAACCCTGCTCTATCCTGCGCCAACCGCACTGCCTCTGACACACCCATCCCGATTACCCCAGTCACTGAATCGATCCATCTCATAGAGGGTCTTCCCCTCCTGCGCCGTCCCTCCACCCTCCAAAGCATGATGTCCCTCTCCAAGGACCCGTCCCTCCTGGCAACATGTCCAAAGTATGTCAGACGACCCTCCACCCTCCAAAGCATGATGTCCCTCTCCAAGGACCCGTCCCTCCTGGCAACATGTCCAAAGTATGTCAGACGAAGCCCCAGAATCCTTGCCTCATAGGAAGGATATTATTGGAGGTAATTCATAGATTGAAAACCTGTAACAAGAAATTCACTCAGGAATCATCTAAGATGCAACTATTGATTACTCCCTGTGTGAAGCAAAGAAGAATAAAAATCAGAGACTCGGGAAACAATAAGCCCAAAGAGCTCATGGACTGCGTGAATCACAGATTTCATGAACCTGAGACCAGAGGAAATAGATGGTACCCAGATTCTGAGAAGGACCACAAAATGAGGAAATCCTGAATGAGTGGAAACAAATTGTAGGACAAAATTCAAAATCATAAAAATATTTTTACATCATATTTTTGATGTACAAAATATATACTTTTCCCTCTACTAGTTTATTTACAAAATTTTAATACAAATTTGAACAAATTCAATTTCCCTCACAAACACCACCACCCCCGCCCATCAAATTGTACAACCCAATGATTAATCTCCTCTTCCCCCTGCACACATCCACCTCCCTCTACTTCCAGCCTCTCCCACCCCTCCTGGATCCTTATACTCATTCTATAATAATGGTCTTATGCAATATTTATCCTTGTGGGCCTGAGTTAGTTCACTCAGCATCATGCTCTCCAGTCCCTCCCAAATTAGGTAAGAATTTACAAAGTTATTGCTCCTGCGTACTACATAGTATTACGTTGTGTGAATGTACCATAATTTCTCAATCCTTTTGTTTGTGGTTGGACCTTTGGGCTGTTTCCAAGTTATTGCGATGGTGAATAACGCTGCTATGAACACTGCTGTACAAATCTTAGTTTGTGCCTCAATTCTCATATTCTCAGGGTATATTCCAAATAATGGAATAGCTGGGTCATATAGAATTTCTATGTTCAGCTATTTGAGGAAGTGCCAAACTGCCTTCCAGAATGTTTGCTCCACTTTACAATCCCACCACAACGTATGAGTTCCTTTCTCGCCATATCTTCTCCAACATCTATTACTTGCTGCCCCGTAAAACTTTGCCACTGTTACTGGAGTGAGATGGTACCTTATTGTGGCTTTGATTTGCATCTCTCTTATTGCCAGTGATTTGGAGCATTTCTTCATGTGTCTGTTTGTCATCCAAATATCTTCCTCTGTGAAAATTCTTTCAATCTCTTTTGCCCATTTTGTAATTGGGTTATCAGTCTTTTTCTTGTGAAGGCCCAAGAGTATTCTGTAAACTTTGTTTGTAAGACTCTTGTCTGAGATGTAATTACCAAATGTTTGTTACCAGTCTGCAGGTTTTCTTTTAATAGGCCAGTTTAGTACAGTGGGAGGGTATAAGATCAATATCCAAAAATCAATAGGATTCCTCTACAGTAAAAAAGAGAACTCAGAGATGGAAATAAAGCAAGCAATACCAGTTACGATAGCCAACCACAAATTGAGATACTTGGGAGTGGACGTAACTAGAGATACAAGAGGCCTATACAAAGAAAACTACAAAGTATTTCTGAAAGACACAATAAAAGACCTAAAGAAATGGAAAACTGTGCCCCGTTCATGGATAGGAAGACTCAATATGGTGAAAATGGCAATCCTACCAGAAGCCATCTACATGTTCAATGCAATCCCAATCCAGGTATCAAATTCCTTTTTCAAGGAGATTGAAAAAGAAATTATCAAGTTCATTTCGAGAGACAAGAGGCCCCAAATAAGAAAAACACTTCTGAAAAACAAAAACGAGGTTGGCGGCATAGAACTCCCTGACCTAAAAACCTACTACACAGCTGTGGTAACCAAAACAGCGTGGTATTGGTACTATGACAGGGACATAGACCAATGAATGGAATAGAATTGAGAACCCAGAAATAGACCCAGCTATCTATGGTCAGCTAATATTTGGCAAGGAAATCAAAGCTATCAAATGGGGGAATGATAACCTCGTCAACAAATGGTGCTGGCAAAACTTGACTTCCACCTGAGAAAGCTGAAACAGGATCCACATATCACACCATCAACAAAAACCAATTCACGGTGAATCAGAGACCTGTGAGTAAAGCCCAAAACCGTAACTTTCATAAAACAAATTGGGATTAAGCTTAGAAGCTCTAATCCAAGGTATGAAAAGACTGCCAAATGCAAGCAGAAATGCACAATCTAAAGAGGATAAAAGTGATGCATGGGACCTTTTAAAGAGATTAAATCTCTGTGCACATCTCTGTGACTATTCTTAAGGTCTTCATGTGGTAGGAATTGCAGATGTTAAAATAAACATTTTTCTTAGAAGTTCAAGTACAGTATGATTGTGAACTTTATTCTTCACAGCATCTTAGAGAAGGTAAAAAGATTTAAAGTGAGAAAGATCATGTTGTTGTTGTTAAGTGCCGTCGAGTTGCAGGCGACTCATAGCGACCCTATGAGGGAGAGTCCTCGATGCTTGGGTGCCTTTCATCCTCTCTTCAGGTTCATAGGGTTTCCAGAGGCAAGCTATTATGGAAGTGGATGTCACTCCTCCTTCCAAGAGAAGGACCATAGGGAAGAGAAAATAACGTTCAATTTTTTTAGTTCTCAGACAGTGTATACTCAAATACTGACCCAATTTATGGGAATTGTGTCTCCTGCTTACGAAGGACATAGGCTGTACAGAGACATTATGATGCAGTGGATACCAAGTGAGGGCACTGGTAACATTATGAAGTCAGGAGTTTTAGTGAAATGTTTGCCTCTATGAAATGCATGAGACCAAAGATATCCTTCCTCCCTTCTAGCATCCTAGGGGCAAGTCTTATGCCCACCAAGAGGATAGTATTTTAAGATCAAAGTAATGAGACCCAGGACAAAAATTAAGACAGCTGGGCTACATTATAATAATTGGAAGATTTATCCAAGTTGGCAGTTTTACATCGTTATTTCTGTACAGAAATAAAAGCTTTCCTATGTTATTATGGATGAGAGAGAAGAAAAGCGAAATCTCAACTTTGCACATCATGTTCACAATTTCATGGCAGCTTTGCAAGGGTTTGAAAGGTTGGTTGAACATACATCGGCCCAGAAAAGAGATGAAAGAATTGGTGTGTTTACACAAAAAGAAGGTAAGACCAATGATTACAGAGCAGTTTAATTGGGGTCTCCTGGTTAGAACTTACAAGTGTTTTTAGCCACCAGAGAGAAGCCTAAGACATTTAATGAGGAGCCTGGTGGTCTGAGTTCTAGTTTTAATTCCGTCCTTACGGTGACTTGGGGTACCTTTTCCAGTTCTCTGAACCTTAGTATCTTAATAGTAAAATAAGATGGCTGGATTAAATGACATCTAAGGACTTCTTTGTAGGCTTTACCATTTTTATGCTTCACACTCTGGTCTGGAACTCCCTTAGTAAAGCACAAACCAAAATTTATGAACTTCTTTAAAGTAGCTTAAAGTATCATGAAGCCAAAAGGACTTTCCTGATAAAAAGGTAAATGTTCTTAACTCATTCTGATTTCATTGTGTGGACTGGAATCCTTTGGCTGGAATGGTCTTGAAGTAAGAGGAATGCAGTGGGCAGTGACTTTGCAGGAGTGTCAGCAGCATACATCTCACAGCAGGACTGAAGCTATGTCAGGGTTAAGGGGAATCAGAGAGTGTGCAGCTTCAGGCCACTCAGGACAACAGTAAAAAGCATGGCTTAATGCAGAGGAAAAGACTAACAGCATAAATCCTGGTATTGGTTAGAAGAGCAAGGAAAGCATGCCAATGTGAAAGCATATTTTAATATCCTAAGATATACACTTACAAGGAAAATGTTGAATTTCAGCATTCAGACTCCATCTAGCTCACTGAGCTGTGTTTCACAATTACAAATCACTTTAATTGAAGTAATTTCATTTTATTCTCATGACAGTTTTAATAAACTGTGGTTGTGGTGTTGATTGCCGTCAAGTCGAGCACGAATCATAGCAAACCTATGAATGAACAAAAGACCTGAAGCCTTTCTAGAACTATCGTTGTTTCTCAAAGTTCATAGTTTTCAGAGGCATGTTGTTTAGGAAATGGATGTCACTCTTGCTTTCTCAAAGCATCTTTATATAGTAGAGTGGTAAAACAATAATAAACCCTAATAAAGATCATGATAATGATTTTACTGAATGATTTCTGAGAAGCTCAAATTCTCCGGAAGAGAAGATTGTTTTCACAGTCTCACTGAGGGTATCTCAGAGGCTTGGGGTAATTACAGGTGCAATCTCACAGAGAGGACTACCGAAATTGGAGACCGAAAGACCATAGAGGCATCTGGGATGGAACTAGCAGAAGGAAGAACTGAGCCTCCTTCTCTCACTCATCCCAACCAGAGCACATTTCATGAGCATATAAATCAAGGCAAAAGCTGCCAGGCTTGGGTGTGTGTGAGTGGAGCTAGCTGGGGAGGTCTTCCAGGATGCTGTAATCTCTGCAGACTTTCCTTTGCTGGCCTCTGATCCACCCCCTTCTCCAGCCCAAAAAGAGACACCAAAAGTGGGGACAGAATTTTATTCAAAGGGTGGGTAAGGGAACAATGGTTATTCAGGCTTTTGCAGGAGTCATAAGCCACTCCCCACACATCTTCAAGCCTCTTAATGACCCAAAACATCAGCATCAACAAAGATTCGAAGGGAAAGCAGAACAGTCTCCTATTCAGCACCAGGACCTCAGCAGGACTGCAGTTTAATAGACTGTTGTAGCTAATATCCTATTTTAGTTGTACAACAGAGTACAGATAAGTAAACTGCCTAAGTCACTTAATGTCCTAGTGTTGCTGTTAGATTCCTATACTTCAGATATGCTCTTAGTAGATTGTGGGCTTGACAGGGCTTTCTAATTTACTCAAAAAAGCGTTCATTTGTTGTTATTTGGTCTACTTTAGTTATTTCTGTATTAATTCTAAAACCTTACCATTTTTCCAAATACTCTAACCACCTCCGGAGCCCCTCAGTGTAGTCCCAACATGACAAAGAAAGCAAAGCCAAAAATGAAGAATTCTTTCGTATCTTGTCTCTTCCAATATCCTTTTCTATTTGCTTTGTTCAAACTAAAACTATATGCCCAATACTGTAAAGTCTTCCTAACACTCAACACAAGGTTTTTTTTAGTGAAGCAGGGATTTTACATTATTTACAGGCATGAATGGTGTTTGTTAGGGTTTTATGCTTTTTTCATACCTATTCTATATGCGTGCTAGGTAAATAATTCAAGAAGGTGAGGACTGTATGGAGATAATCCCAAAATGGCTAAAACAGTACACTGACAGAGAACTTCCAGAATTTCAAGCAGGATTTAGAAGAGGCCATAGCAACCAGGGATATCCTTGCTGATGTCAGATGGATTCTGGCTGAAAGGAAAGAATACTATAGAATGTCTATGTGTGTTTCATTAACTATGCAAAGGCATTTTACTGTTGTTGTAGTTGTTGTTATGTGCCATCTCATTACTTGCGACTAAAAATGACCCTACACTGCAGCGCTGAACCCTGCTCTATCCTGAGCCAACCTTATTGTCTCTGACACACCTATCCCCATTATCCCAGTCACTGAGTCAATCCCATCTCATCGAGGGTCTTCCTGTCTTGTGCTACAAATGATTTCTAACATTGAGAAAACTAGGAATCCAAGAACATTTACTTGTACTCATACAAAACCTAGACCAAAAAGCTGCTGCGTGAACAGAATAAGGAAATACTGAATGGTTTAAAATCAGGAGAGATATGCATGAGGAATGTACTGTACTAATGGACTCATGTATCAGAGATGATGATAGGTCATCAGGATAGGTCAGGGTTAAGATTCATTGTTCATAGACTCACTATGAGTCATAGTTGACTGGATAGCATCTAACAATTACAAAAATGGCATTACCAAAAATGATCAAGAATTCATGAAATACTGAACAACAGAGATAAATCTGGAACAAATTATGCTAAGTAAGATAACTCAGTCACAAAATTACAATTATAGTGGGAGACCATTGACATAGAAAGCTATAAAAAGGATTATATACAGATAGAGTCCATCTTGGAGGGTTGACAGAGATGAAAGGGGGGGGGAAGGGGGAGTAAAAATTAATAAATAGGTAAGATGCATTCATAATAATGGGTGACAGGAACGCAAAAGTTGGGAACAGGGAACAAGGATCAGTAGCTGGAAAACACGGGCTCAGTGAGAGAAATGAGGCTGGAGATAGAATGATAGAGTTCTGCACATTCAATGATTTACTCATTGCAAATACCTTTTATAAGAAATATAAACGCAGGCTATACACGTGGATCTCACCTGATGGTATGCATAGGAATCAAATCGATTACAGTTGTGGAAAGACTTGCTGGAGAAGCTCAATGTTGTTGTTGTTGTTATGTGCCGTCGAGTCGCTTGCGACTCGTAGCAACAGCTCTAAACTCTGCTCTGTCCTGTGCCAATCTCATTGTCTCCAACACACTCATCCCGATTACCCCAGTGAAAACCAGGCGGGGTACTGATTGTGGGACAGACCACCAACTACTTATATGCAAGTTCAAGCTGAAGTTGAAAAAAATCAAGTCCACGGGAACCAAAATTTGACCTTAAGTCTTTCCCACTTGAATTTCAAAACCATCTCAGGAACAGGTTTGAGGCCTTGAGTGTAGATGAAATGAGCTCTGGGAGGATATCAAGAAAATCATCCATGAAGAACGCAAAAACTCATTACAAAGGCTGAAAGAAGAAAAAAAGACCAAGATGGATGTCAGATGAGACTCTGAGTATTGCATTAGAGTGCCGAGAAGCCAAAGCTAAAGGAAGAAACCAAGAAATTGAAGAGCTGAACAGAAAATTTCAAAAGGCAGCTCGAGACAACAAAGCAAGATACTATAATGAAATGTACAGAGAGCTAGAGTCGGAAAATAAAAGGGCCAAACTTGCTCAGTGTTTCTTAAACTGAAGGAGTTGAAAAACAAATTCAAGCCACGGGTAGCAATACTTAAGGATACTCTGGGTAGAATGTTAAATGATCCAAGAAGTATCAAAAGAAGATGGAAGGAGTACAGAGAGTCACTGTATCAGAAGGAATTGGTTGACACAGAGGAATTTTAAGAAATAACATGTGAGCAAGAGCCTATGGTGATGAAGGAGGAACTTCAAGTTGTTCTGAAGGAATTGGCAGAAAACAAGGCTTCAGGAGATGACCACATACCAATTGATTTATTTCAACAAACAGACGCTGCCCTGGATGTGCTCACTAAGTTGTGCCAAGAAATCTAGAGGACAGCCAGTTGGCCAACTGACTGGGAAAGATCCATATTTGTTCCCATTCCAAGGAAAGGTGACCCAACAGAGTGCGGAAATTATCGAACAGTATCATTAATATCACTTGCAAGCAAGATTCTGCTGAAAATTATCCAAAAACGTTTGGAACAATATGTCAACAGAGAACTGCCAGATATGCAGGCTGGATTTAGAAGAGGTTGTTGTACTAGGGATATTATAGCTAATGTTAGATGGATCTTGGCAGAAAGCAAAGAATATCAGAAGAATGTCTATCTGTGCTTCATTGACTATGCAAAGGCTTTTGACTGTATGGATCACAACAAGCTGTGGCTGACTCTGAGAAGAATGGGAATCCTAGAACATTTGATTGTGCTAATGTGAAACCTATACTTGGACCAAGAGGCAGTCATCAGAACAGAGCAGGGAGACACTGGATGGTTCAAAATCAAGAAAGGGGTCCTTCAGGGATGTATTTTGTCTCCATACCTTTTCAATCTATATGCAGAACAGATCATCCGAGATGCTGAGCTATATGAGGAGGAATATGGCATCAGGATTGGTGGAAGAATCACCAACAACTTGCGTTATGCAGATGACACAACCCTGCTTGCTGAAAATGAGGAGGACCTGAAGCACTTGCTGCAGGTGGTCAAGGACTGCAGCCTTCAATAAGAATTGAAGCTCAACATCAAGAAAACAAAGATTCTCACCACTGGGTCAATTGGCAGCATCAGTATGGATGGTGAAGAGATTGAGATAGTTAACAGTTTTAGTTTACTTTGTTCCACAGTCAACACTCTTGGTACCGGCAGCCAGGAAATCAGGAGATTAATTGCATTGGGAAAGTCAGCTGTGAGGGACCTCGCAAGAGTACTGAAGAGCAATGACGTCAGGCTGGAGACTAAGGTGTGCCTGATCTGGGCAATTACATGCTATGCATCAGAGAGTTGGATAGTGAATAGGGATGATAGAAGGAGAATTGATGCCTTTGAGCTGTGGTGCTGGAGAAGCGTGTTGAATATACCATGGACTGCTAGGAGAACAAACAGGTTTGTCCTGGAGAGGGTGAAGTCAGAACGCTTCTTGGAGTCAAGGATTCTGAAGCTTTGTCTGACATACTTTGGGTATGTTGTGAGGAGGGACTGGTCCTTTGAGAGGGACATCATGTTTGGGAGAGTGTAGGGACAGCTCAGGAGAGGAAGACCCTCTATGAGATGGATCAATTCTGTGAGTGGAGTTGTGGGAATGAGTGTGTTTGAGATGGCGAGTTGGCACAGGATAAAAAGGCGTTTAGGGCTCTTGTACATAGGGTCGCTATGAGTGGCAAACGATTCAATGGCACATAACAACACAACAGCAAAACAAGCTGAGTGAAGGGAAATACTTTTAGAAAATTTGCCCATTTCAATTTGTCAGAGTAGAGTTCTTCAGATCTCTGGTGATGTGATCTCAAGGGAGTTGTGCAGCTTACCCAAAGGTAACACTTCTCTGATGGTTTGAATCCTTGAATCCATGAGCAGCTCAATGGGGAAAGACAGACAAACTCTTTTCATGTAATTTACAGCCTTTGAACACCTGCTGGAGAGTCAGTGATATGTTGGTTCTGACTTGAGAATGATGAGAGTTAAGAAAAAGGGAGGGTTCTTCATAGTATTCTGTTACTCTCCTGATTATTTCATTTGGTTCTGTTGTCACGTCATCCGTTTCCTTATTCATGTTTTTTTTTGTGTCATCTTCTTTTCCTTTGTTATATTTGCCAGGGGCTTGTTGATTTTGTTTTTTGGTTTTTTCCCAAAGAATCAACTTCTAGGCTTGCTAATTTTTTCTATTGGATTTCTTTTTTTCTGTTTCATTTTTTTCTGTTCTTATCTTTATTATTTCCCATCTTCTAGAGATGGCAGGCTCTGCTTGTTGCTGTTTTTTCTAATTGTCAGAGACGGTGGGCTCAGGTGTTGATTTTGATTCTTCTCTTTTTGATGTGTGTTTTTTACTAGAAATCATCCTATGAGTACTGCTATTGACATACTTCAGATTTCAGAATGTTGTGTATTGCTTCCCATTTGTAAGAAGGAATGGGGGTTTCTTCCTTCTGTTTCCCAATATTGTTCAAGCAGTTACTTTGTTTCTTTGTACTTATTTCTCACCCTTCCCCCCCCCCCCCTTTGATTTACCTGTTGTGGATTTCTAACTTATAGCATGGTGTCTGAGATGATGCTTTGTAACATTTCGGTGTTTTTTATTTATTGAACCTTGCTGTGACCTAGCTGGTGTATGATCTAGTCTGGAGAATATCCCATGTGCGGTGGAGAAAAATGCATATTTAGGCTCTTGTTAGGTGGAGTGTTCATGTCTAGGAGATTAATTTGGTGCATTATATTCTTTTTATTTTGTGTTTTTGTTGAGTTGTTTCATTTTGGTCTTGGTGAAACTACACTGCTTGCAGTTCCCAAATTCTGATTTTTTTTTTCATTTTCTTTTTATAATATACCCTTTACTTAACTTTTTGCAATTGTAGAAAATTGTTATGGTCCCTCTCCCTGGAAAACATTGAGTACAAAATAAAGACTTCCTCCTATAGTGTGGTCCTCTTCCTCTAATTTCTCCTCACACCACTCTTCTAACCCATTCAAAGCCCATTCTGGCTGCCCTTTCAGTACCTACATGGCATTTTCTCTCCAACTTCAAGGTCTTTACCTTAACAGCCTCTGTTTGAAAGACTCCTTTATCAGGTCTTGGCTTAATTTTACCCACCTCTTCAGAAAGAACGTCCCTGAGTTCACCTTCCCTTCTCACTGTCAAGCAGTGCTATTAGAGCTCCCTGTGTGTCCTCCTCCAGCTCATCTCAGCCTAAAATTTCTGTTGAGTTACAACATATACACATCAAAGTTCGTAACGTGCACTAATTTTAATACTGTTGAGTTTTGTTGAGTCAATTCTTGCCTCACTTTATACACAATGAATCACTACTCTAATATCTTCCTCAATTCCTTACCTGTCACAATCTGCCAATTTTTAAAAAATAATTATATTGGGGTAAATACATACAACAAAACATTTTGCCATTTAAACCACTTTTAAGTATATACCTTAGTGACAATGATCATGTTCACTGTGCTATGAAGTCATCACCACTGCCTCTAAAATTCTTCATCAACTTTAAAAGAAACTCGGACAATCTGTAAATATTTTATTTGTTCTTTAACTTGCTGTTTCTCCACTAAATACAACTTCCCTGAGAGCAGGAAGCTTACCTTTGAAGTTTTTCATTATAAATTCAGTTCCAGCATAAACTTTGTTTTGGCATATGCTCATTATGTTTTTGCTAAATAAATGGAAAAAAAGTTTTGTATTACATGTATTACATACATGTATTACACTGTATTTTAGCACAATAATTTTACCCAGAGATTCAATAAATTTGCCAAAATCAAGACTCAATCAATGATAGTGTGTGTGTGTGTGTTTGTGTGTGTGTGTGTGTGTGTGTGTGTGTGTGCGCATGAAAGAACCCATCAAGAATTGTTCTTCCGGCACACACATTATTATGAATTTTTCATAATAATAGAGAATTAATTGGCTTATGTTTGTATTGTTGAAAAAGACTCTTAAAAGAATCAAAATAAAGGCTATGGAGAGTGGAGGAGTTAGAAAACACCAAAGTAAAAACTTTCTAATATTTTAGCCAAAGTAAAAGATCTTGAAAATGCTAATTAATCTGGTTTTAATAGAGTGAAATAAGGGGGGAAAAGGTTAAGAAATAGGACGATCCATGAAAGATGCAATAAAGTCCTTGCAATTTGATGACATTGTACTTATATTTTGTTGCAATGCAGATACAATTGATTATGACAAGTTTTACGGGGCAGTACAGGAGCTTTTTGGCCCAGAAGTAAAGAACCAAGATGTGAAATGTTTTTATAGAAAACTCTGCAACAATCCCGGAGCAACTATGGACTGGTGCGAGGTAGTCATTTCTGTTGTTTATAGTACTCTTTATTTTTATTCAGAATGAATAATTACATTTGAGTGTTGTTCTCACAGAAGTTAAACCCACAAGGTGTACAGGCATTTATGAATGCCTATTCAGGGAGCTCTGGTGATCTAGTGGGTAAGGAGCTGCATTGCCAACCAGGAGGCAAGTGGTTCAAATTCACCAGCTGCTCCTCAGAAGAAAAATAAGCAATCTTCTCCTGTGGAATTTACTCTCTCTGAAAATCCACAAGAGGGTAAACTGCGAGTCAGTTCTGATTTGAGGGTAATGAATTGAGTTGATACCTTTCAAGTAATGACCACTATCATCAAATGTTTTAACCATATTATTAATGAGTAATTTTTAATTTTTTAGACATTTAAAGAAATATACATGCCAGTGACAATAAGATTTAAATGACCTTAATTACATTCTAAACTATTTCTTCTTAACAGTGTCAGCATATGCAAATTTTCACATTATTCATATTCTTAGTATAAATGGACAATCTACTGACTTACATTTTTCCATGTCTTACACTTCCTCAGATGTTTTTCTGGTTAGAGCCCTGATGTCACAGTATATAATATATTGGGCTGCTAACAGAAAGGTCAGTAGCTCGAATCCACTATCCTCTCCATGGCTTTCCTTCTTTAAAGATTTACAGCTTCCAAAACTTAGTAGAGGGTCACTGTGTGCCAGAATAAAGTGCACAGCAGTCGGTTTGTTTTCTCAGGGTTTTTGGGTTTTTTTGTTGGTGTTCTAACGACTCATTAGCTAACATTCTGATGCTCTTGGAAGAACACATATCAGTTCTCCTGGTCACTAAGTGACAGATGGGCTATGGGAAAGGAGAGAAAAATGTCCTTGACCCTTGCTTAAATATATAGAAAATAGCACTCTATATAGGTTTGTTCTTTGCTGAAATATTTCCTAATCTAAAAAGCATTTGTGATAGCTTACAAATTGAAAAACTGTACATATATATACAGAGTAGTTAAAATCACTAAAAATAAATCTATCTAGATTTCTTTTATAAATAAGCACATAGAGTCAGCAAAGAGAGAAACAAGGATTTGAAGGACTGATCCTCATAATTGATAAGCTGCTCTGGTGGCATAGCTCTTGAAGAGTTGTGCCCGGCAGTTAAAATCTACCAGTGACACAAAGGAGAGGAAGACAGGAGAATGCCTTCCTTGAGATTTAACTGCAAAAATCCACAGTTCTGACTCAAGAGTAGTGAGGGTGATCGACTGATAAATTGATAGATAAATGAACTTTGAACCTATGCCCTAAGGAAAATATATCTTTCAAATATACATTATACCATCACAAAATTGACCATGTTTTGGGTTATAAAGAATATTTGAGTAAATTCCAATAAAATAAAAATAGAAAATTCTCATAAAAGATAATAAACCCCTCAAAACTTCTCATGTAAAAAAAAATCACCCACTAAGAAAAAAATTTATTTTTGGAGT